TGTAGATTGATAGAATTCAGAATTTGTCAGTTAAGTTGTTAGCCTGGTGATAGAATAAGGGAATTGAGAGGAAATTGAAGTTGTGATGTACAGGTGATGGGAATAATGGTTGAACGACGATTCCCACATCATGGGAAAGAATACGAAAGTGTCCGGTGATGTGGGGGACACCTCCATTTCTCATAAAAGAGGGACAATCTCTTTCCCAGTAAGAAGCATTAGCGTGGACTACGATTGGCCCATCGCGAGGGAAATCATTGATGATTCCGTAGTAAGTTAACCATGGCCCGGGGACATGAAGAGGGAGGCTCATGGGCTTAGCAAAAACAGTATAAGAGGGATAATTCGATCCGTTAAGACAATCAGGATAAGGAACGGTATTGTCGACGAAAGTAAATCGGATACGGCCATCCTCAAGGATGAGAATTGGCTCTGTGAAGAGATGACATCCTTTGATGAGGTACATAGTAAAGGTATGGATAAGTTTGGGACGAGTGGAAACTTGAGTAGACTTGGACCGAAATTTTGGAAGTGAAGCTTAATGTCTTGGAGGAGAAATGAGGATTGGGAGTAAGCGAAGTTACTCCGTATATGACCATTTCAACTCAGTGTAAAGAGGGGCGTTGTTTTTTTGCTTTGGCATTAAAGGTGAAGAAGGCAATGAAGAAATTCCGGAATGGGTAAAAGTTTAAACACCAATTTCGGGACTGATGAATACTTCCTGAGGCAAGGGACCAGGGCTGAAGGCTGAGAATGACAATTTAGAGTAACAAGAGAAAGTCAAGTACAAGACTGAGGGTGAGAAATCGGACTATATCCAGAGGAAAAGGAACAATGGGGAAGGCTGAAAAAGACAATTTACAGTAACAAAAGAATGCCAAGTAAAAGTCGAATGATGACAGATCAAGGAAAAAAAAAATAAGTTTCAGATGACAGCTTAGCGGTATTGGTTTGAGGCTAGTTCGGCAAAAGGCAAATAATGATTAGGACCGAATAAGGGAATGGGGATGTCACAACTATCTGGAAGCTGGGACTGAAACTGAAGATAACAATAGGAACGTAAACGTATATAAAAGCAGAGTCCACATGATGCATTTTCCAGGTGCGCCAAGGTTGAGTGGGAGAATTAATGTCTCCTGCGATTTCGCTAGTAGCGATACCTTTGGAGGTGCAGAGTTCATGGTATATGGTTAAACTTTTTTAATCACTCCTCCTGTGAACTAAAAGCTCCTTAAAACAATAGCTGCAACAGCTATTATCCATCCATCTGATCCAATTGGTAAGTTATTATCTACATTTTCCCACAGAATCATCCAGGACAAGACCAAATAAATAAATTCTGTCTGATATGAACTTTCCAGCGTCTGTGGGAGAAAATTCTATTACAAAACCTCACTATCAACACACAAACACTACAAACAATACTGATTTTGCCCCAAAGGAAAATGGCAATTTGGATGGTGGGAAAATAGATCAATTTTCTGGCACTTTTCTGCAAGATGCCTCAGGAGTGAAAAAGTAGGCCTAAAATTGAGCTATTAGGGGGTATCAAATATTAGGCAAATCCACCATTAATTAATTGACTGGTTGTGGAAAAACCTGCCATGGTTTAAAACATGTGTGTATCCAGTCTGACACCCTCAGAGAGCATGCGTGAAGAAAATACATTGTGGGAACGTGGCTGGGTTCCAAGGTG